ATGTATAAAATAGTGACTTTTAAGTTTACTACAAGCGGGTTGTAAGAAGTAATGTGTGTTTATTTCACAGTCACAGATAGCAAGTATACAAACACATATTCATATACAGAGGCAATCTGCAAGTCACAAATATGTGTTTCTTGGCTGTGCCGGTGAGGGCGAGACGGATTCCACCAGTCGGAATTATTTGGCGTGTGCACCACTATTTCACAATTACCAGTATGGGTTTTCACTTATTTATAGTAACAAAACTACTCATCCCGACTGTAACCTGTCCGTATAGGGCGCACCATGGGCTTCCAATGTAAATATGCAGCTAAGACTAATGTTTGCCACCGTTACCAGACAATTAAAGTCTTTGAAGTGTTTTTGTATGAGCTGTACACAAATATAGTATAGTATATTTTATTTGGCACGAAATAATGCATTGAATTACATTATCTATGATCAATAAACATACAACAAAGAACAATAAACATCAATATATAAAATGTTCGTTTAGTGTTTGTATCGACCATGGAGGTAATACTTCCATGCATAAACTGAGCATGGAGCTAACACAATATCTTTTTTTTTGCCATAGATGGGGAAAACACGCACAATTTGGGTTGTTTTGAAAATAGAAATAACATATTATCAGTTGAAATAAGTGTATCTTAAGTTATGTTTCAACTTCGATATGTGTGTATCTTGAATGAACTTTTTTTTTCTGTAAAATTCGATAATCTGACTAATCTAAATAAATATATGCTATATAAATATTATTATATATGTAATTGGAGTCCATCTTCCCTCCCACGATCGTGTCAGTCTTTTGAGTTTTCCAGTCAAAAGAATCAATGTTTTTATCCAACCGATTTTGTTTTCTAGTCCCACCCTCTGCTACGTGCGACACTATAATACCACACGGAGTCACCCAATTTGACTGAATAAACAGGTATTCCTCTAGTATATGCACGTGTTCTTGTGAACAAATAATCTGAAAACAAAAAATATATGTATCACGTGTGCAACAATGTTGTCATTACGTTCACCCTTAAAAATAAATAGACATTAATTAAATTATTCATTTATTTGTTACCCGGTCTTTCAGTCAATCTGTCTGCCTGTCTTGTTTGCTTGTTTTATTATTGTTTGTTTCTTACGATTGTCCTGGACAAATTGCTTCTTGATTGTGCCGGGGAAATCGAAACGGATTCTACCAAATGATAATTTCACGTGTACACACACCACCACTTATTAATTTACAGTAAAAAAATCATCACCCCGACTGTAGTCTAACTATCCAACAATACAGCAGATCCAGTCAAACACAAACACCTAAGGACCTGAACCATGGCCGCATCCGGCGTCCGGACCCAGCCGAACACTAGCACCTACGGACCTGAACCATGGCCGCATCCGGCGTCCGGGCCCAGCCGAACACTAGCACCTACGGACCCGAACCGGGACCCGAACCAAGTTCGCACGCGATGACTGAATTTTGGCCAATGTTACAGTTAGATTGATTTCGATGGAAATCTGTATTAATGCATTATTTTATAAACCAAAAAAAACAAAAAACAAAACAAAAAAAAACAATATTATTCATATTGAATATTCTATGAATTATGATCATCATAATTATCCATTTTATAATTATATGCTTTTGTCACTACATGTTACCAAGGTGAGTCATTTTTACGAGTTTATAAACAACATCATACAATACAACAACAATTACTACATAAGGAAAGACAAGGAATATGGCGATCTGTTTTAATGTTTAATAAGACCATGAACTGAAATTGTTGCAATGTTTAATCAGACATTATATTTACAAAAAATTAAAGCGGGGGAGTCGTCACCTACGCATGCGTCAGGTGATCATATCGTGTCCGAACAAGCGTCTACCCATGAGCCTTTCCGTTCTTAGCGTGTGTTGTTATCATCGCTTGGGACTCAATTCCCGCGCGTGCGCAGGTGACGACCCTCCCACTTTAATATGGTGTAAAATATTACAATGTATAAGCCATTCAAATTAACAGCACACAGAAAGTCTGAGCTGTCGAATTATTTTTTGTTAGAAAACTTATTTTTTTTATCTGTATGCAAATACCATACGCAAACATCATGTGACATAATAATAGCCTGACGTGTAAGTGTGAGTGGCGCCCTCGCCGGACGAAGGGCATCAGACCCCACTCACTGTTTTGGGTTGGAGCACCCATGGAGGTAAAAATCTCCATGGAGCACCGCGGACAGCGCAACTCACTCTACTTTGCCAGGCTAAGGCTGTAACTACTCATTTGGCAAGGATAGGTAATTTTGACTTTCACACAACAGTTCTAAAAAACACAGCTGATCGAATACAAAAGTACAGTTTATATTTCAATTTAATGGTTTATTACAGTTGAAAAGACTGATTGTTGTCACCAATGAAAACAATTGCTTTATTATTGAGGAGTAATGATTATTCCAAGAACGTCCAAGTCACGTAACGCCCTCTACCGATACCGAAAAGAATTACGTATTATTTGTCGGAAGGGGCGCACTCACAGTGAAAGTGTCTTTGAAATTTAAAAAAATATTTTAACCCCTAACCTGAGCCCTAAACCTAATACTCCCGCTCTTCCAAATGTAATTTCAGTATAAACAATATTTCAATCCCTAACCTGAGCCCTAAACCTAATACTCCAGCTCTTCCAAATGTAATTTCAGTATTAACGATATTTCAATCCCTAACCTGAGCCCTAAACCTAATACTCCAGCTCTTCCAAATGTAATTTCAGTATAAACGATATTTCAATCCCTAACCTGAACCCTAAACCTAATACTCCCGCTCTTCCCAATGTAATTTCAGTATAAACGATATTTCAATCCCTAACCTGAGCCCTAAACCTAATACTCCAGCTCTTCCAAATCTAATTTCAGTATAAACGATATTTCAATCCCTAACCTGAGCCCTAAACCTAATACTCCCGCTCTTAAGCTTCCCAATGTAATTTCAGTATAAACGATATTTCAATCCCTAACCTGAGCCCTAAACCTAATACTCCCGCTCTTCCCAATGTAATTTCAGTATAAACGATATTTCAATCCCTAACCTGAGCCCCAAACCTAACACTCCCGCTCTTCCAAATGTAATTTCAGTATAAACGATATTTCAATCCCTAACCTGAACCCTAAACCTAATACTCCAGCTCTTCCAAATGTAATTTCAGTATAAACGATATTTCAATCCCTAACCTGAGCCCTAAACCTAATACTCCCGCTCTTCCCAATGTAATTTCAGTATAAACGATATTTCAATCCTTAACCTGAACCCTAAACCTTATACTCCAACTCTTTCCAATGTAATTGTACATACCCCTTCAAATAACTATATATACCGAAGAGGGGCGTGTACAATTAACACTGGGCGAGGAACTCTTACCCAAACTTTTGTGAACAATTACGAGCTGGATTAATAAAATGTTAGTGTTTACCGTATGTTAGGAAGGTTTTGATGACATACGGCGGGGACAACTTTAAGTTTGAAATTTGTTCATTGTTTTTATGTTTATGACACACCTTGAATACCAGCATTGGACATTGAGATAGTTTTCCAGCTCAAAGTCTTCTTTAAATTGCCTATGTGTTTCACTGTTATTGCCATTACTGTATGTACACATTCTTTGCTGTGGTTTAGTTTAACTTATTTACGTCGATCAGATGAGATTAAATGTTTCATAATTCCAGGTTTTATTCTAGTGTAGTAAGTTCAAGCTTTTTAACACATGAACACATGACACCTGCGTTTTTCATTCCTTTGCAATCTATTATTTAAAGGGCGGTAGTCGTCGCGATGCGCATGTGCGACATTGGTGTCAAAGAGCATTGATTTTTCTACAACCCAGTGTATTCGAGGTTTGACCTGGACGCGACTTGCACTAATTACCACCGGTGACTCCTTCAATACCTTCCAATCACCTAAAAATACCTAATAAATAAAGCTTGGCAACGTCTCAGTTTGTACTCGTTGATCTGCACAGTCAAAGTCGCCATCTTTGTTTATATGAGACCCATATATCTCGCGCATGCGTGGAGCGACGACTACCGCCCTTTAATGAGAGACTTTTTAATCTAACGTATTTTTTCGTATGGCTCTGTCGGTGAGTTCCACTCGTGCTTTGCTTACACACAGGCGACTTATAGTCCCATTTGCCTTTGGCCAATAAATAAATAATTTTGCATAGAATCAAGTTCCAAGTGCGGAATATGTTATAGCATGTCGTGTACGCTAAAGTCCTGCCTTCAAAACTCTGAATTAAAAATATATGGTAAAAGAACTAAGTTTTCTACAAAACGACCCCGAAAATTGAAACAAAAATGCGTATTTTGAGTAGTTTACAATTGGTTTCTATGGCAATAACATTCCATCATATCTCAAAATTTGTTTCGTGACCTATGCTGACAAAATATATGTAGTGTTATATTTGGCTGTCACAAAAAGGGGGAATTTTGAATATTAGTATATTAAAGTTATTCATAGAATAATGTCTTTACATAGATTCTTGTGAAAAATGTTCCAAGATAGCTGTTTTGGATTATTATGCATATATTATCTTGAAATCACATCTTTTTTTTCGCAAAAACTATAAACATAAATGCCCCGCATGTAATATGTTAATATGTCAATATTTGACGTCATCTTACTTTTACCCGCACTGCATGCGCACCTATCTTTAGTTTTGTCGTAGTTGGTACATGTTTAGTTTGTAAGTTGGTAGTGGGTGAGTTGGTACCGGGCTAGCAAACCAACTTTGGGACAAATATACTAGTTGGATAAACCTGTGGAACGAATCGACTAGGGCGAATATGACATCGACCGCCCGTCCAACTTTCCAGAGTGCCGGTGTTTTTATGGTGCCGATGTATTCATATATAATATTTAGGACGTAATGCAGCTGCTATAATGATAAAAATACATAAGATTCAATTGAGGTATTGAAGAAACCTTGGATTGACCTATAACCTCCCAGTTCACCCTGGGAAAACCCTTTCGATCATAATATTTGGTCACGTGACTTGTACTTCTGAATTAAACATGGCGGTGTTGTGAGCGAGAGGGCAGCCTGTTGTCCGACAGCGACTAAAACGCCACGTTTTTACTGCGACACTCGCTACGAAGCTCCAAAGAGGCGACGTTTTTCAGCCTCGTGGAGGAATCTCCACAGCTCGCTTGTAACTAGGGAAACATTATAATGGGAAAAGGATCGAGTAAGCTCAGTGCCAGCGAGATGAAGGAACTACAACAATGCACTTATTGTAAGTCTTTTGCTTTGACATTTGAAATCGCCGATGTCATATATTACGTGATTTTCTTATTTTTAATATATGTTTTAGATATACACAATACAGCGACATTACCGCGGCTAATATGGCTTATTGCGTTTAATTTTGACAATTTATTATAAAAAGTGGTCGAAATGTTCGTGAAAACGTACTTTTTCGATTTCTAACGTTTTTTGTGTTACTGTACAGTGCGTATATCCACAGTCCATAGAGGCACTGTGGTGTATCTAACATTGACAGTTCCGTGTCTCCTGCCCTGCTTTTATTAAAAACCAGTGGATAAAGCAAAATATCAATAGCCACTACATGTGTATGTCATACATGGAATCCGGGAAGGGAAAGCGTAAGATAATTCAGTTTCTTGCAACCACATGACGTTGCAAAAATTAGTTGCCAAATATTTGTTTAATTCTCATGTGATGTTATCGGCGAAACTTCATTTTAAAGGTATCAGATTGTGTGATGTGCTGAAACATTGCCATTAATGTAGTTTACCTAACTCTAAAAAAAAAAAAAAAAAACTTGATTAATACTGATAAATGACTTATTAGTCTAAAATATTGAGTCTATTAATCATTTAATGGATAGTATATTATAAAATTCGATTTTGGGTGTTGATGTAGAATAGGGGTGCGTAGTAATCTCTCGAAAATAGGATTTTGGCAATAAAATCAATACATACCAAATACTGATGAATAAACTTCACATTGAACACAAACAGGATACATGATATTACTGTTTATCGATAAAATAAAATTACCGAACATACTTTCAACAATCACTCTCGATTGCATTGAATGCAAAATGGCAAAAATGATGGTGAAGCTCTTACGACAAGATTGTGTAATTACTAAAATGTTTTGTTGTTTGTTCAATGCTCAACACGTATTACAAATTAGTAAATTATGGTTAGGCTTGTGGAACACTGTTGAGAATTTATTTTTTATTTTATTTCTATGTTGTACTGAAATTATCAAAAAGCAACATACCATGATGTCATAGTTTGTTTTGCATGTACGCCAGAAAATGTGCGTCGTATTGTGATCCTGTGTTTACTAATTGGCTAATTATAACAGTAGGGTAAAACTAACCTGTCTCACGACGGTCTAATCCCAGCTCACGTTCCCTGTTGGTGGGTGAACAATCCAACGCTTGGCGAATTCTGTTTTTTTCTAAAAATTATTAAGATCATTCTGAAGTTTAGTTATCAAGAAAGTATTTGGTATGTACAATTTGTATCACAAAAATCCTATTTTCAAGAGATTACAACACACCCATATTCTACACCATTGACAGATTGGAATGATATTGTGTTAGCGATTGAAATCAAAATGGCTCTATAAACATCACATCATATATAACAAATCTAATCCTGTTATCTGCGCTGCGGCTGGGAATTCCAAAATCAAATTGTGTCTTACAAGCAACCAATTATATATATTTGGCATTTAAACTCCTAAAGCCTGTAGTGCATTACCATACGTGGTGCATTATATTGTCTACGCATGTCTATTTAGAAATTAGTAGTGAAATTAGTAGTGCTGACATGGTCACATAATTCTTGCAATGTATGTGTGTGTGAGTTTAAAATTAATTGAATAAACCATGGTCGATTAACCAAAATGGTCAACTACTGTAAAATACTTTATTTTAGCTGGAATTAATTTTCGCTGAAAAGGTTTTTTGGTGTTTTTTGTGGAATGTATTTTCACTGATTTTTGATGAGTTGAATGTAAAATATGGGGAAAAAAGTGTATTCACTGGATTTTATTTTCACTGAATCACATCTTCAGCGAAAATAAATTCCAAGCGGAAATAAAGTATTTTACAGTATTCACAGAATGAGTTTCATCAAATAGCTTAGCATACAGTTGTGATGTGGCACTCAGTTTTTCTTGTGTTTGCTTGGTATTGTTTACTCAAGATATTGTTTGTTAACTTCCTTCACTCAAGTGAGTTCCCAGAATGTATGACTATTGTGATACAAATCTGTTTTTGTTATACAACCTCTTGATTTTGGATCTTATTAATTAATCATTGTTGCAAGTATTTTTTTCAACCTTGCTCCAAATAAAGGCCAAATGACATACTGCTTGTCAATAAACAGACCTATACAAATATATCATATTCTTAATTGTCCACATTTTGTTTCAGTAACATGTTGCTAGAAAAGACTCATTCAAAATCAAATTTTTGGGACTGCCTGAGGCAGAATATGACTGCCCAAGAGCTAAAAACACATATACAAAATTTGCGCTTGACATACTTCATGTCAATAAATGTCCCTATATGGATAGATCATAATCTTAAGTGCCTGACTGTTTAAATATGTTTTGTTTCAGTAACATGTTGCTAAAAAGACACATTCAGAATCAAATTTTGGGGACTCTCTAAGGCAGAATATGACTGCCCAAGAGCTAAAAACACATATACAAAGTTTGCGCTTGACATACTTCATGTCAATAAATGTCCCTATATGGATAGATCATAATATACATGTTTGATTGTTTAAATATGTTTTGTTTTATCTGACGTGTTAAAATGTACTACACTGTTGCTAAAAAAATGCATTCAGAATAAAATTTTACAGATTTTAATGTGAAATCCCTAGCTTGAGCTGTGATATATACTTTGGAGGGAAAATTCAATAAACTAGGTCAATAACATTTAGTTAACGGTATTTGGTTCTGTTTACCTTTTGAGACCAAACATTGAAAAAATGGTGTGAAATCACCCTTGTTTCAATGAGACTTGACTGATCATTAGCTAGGATATGGGTCAGAAAATAGGTGTTATGTTATCAAATCAGTGAGTTAGCACAAAAGAAAAATGTCTGATGAACGGAAAATTAAATAGATTTAAAACAAAAATTAAAATCCCAGTGCATGTTATTAGAACCACACAGTTTATTTTGTTTGGCCTAAATGCCAGTACCAATTTGTCTTCTATGTTGGTGAAATTAAACATTAAAAAAAGACCTTGTATTATTATATATAATACATGTTGTATCATATTTTTACAACAAAATTATGAAATCTTTTATGGTACATTTTACAATATTTAATTAGTTAACAATATTTAGAAGAGATTGCTAGAAATCTTTGTTTTTATTCGATAATTTATTTTAGACAACTATCTTGAAATTAATGCCTGCCAACATGTTTGTGATGAGTACTGATAATTTACCTGCACTAGATGTAGATTAATTATCTGAACTTTGTTATTTAATTAACACATTTTAAATAATCTGTTCTATCCAGGTCCTTTAAGCACAGCAGTTTTATGATACTTGGCCAATGAAATGTTGTACACTAGTCCTTTAAGCACAGCAGTTTTGCCATGCTTGGCCAATGAAATACAGTGTTTTATCCAGGTCCTTTAAGCACAGCAGTTTTGACATGCTTGGCCAATGAAATACAGTGTTTTATCCAGGTCCTTTATGCACAACAGTTTTGCCATGCTTGGCCAATGAAATACAGTGTTTTATCCAGGTCCTTTATGCACAACAGTTTTGCCATGCTTGGCCAATGAAATACAGTGTTTTATCCAGGTCCTTTATGCACAACAGTTTTGCCATGCTTGGCCAATAAAATACAGTGTTTTATCCAGGTCCTTTATGCACAACAGTTTTGCCATGCTTGGCCAATGAAATGCAGTGTTCTACACTAGTCCTTTAAGCACAGCAGTTTTTTGGCTGGTTCCCGCCTCAAGTGTCATGGCGTACCAAGCCACAAGAGGCCGGTAACTAGTAACGGTTCTGGCATTCTGATTGGTACATCACTTTCTCGTTGCTTGTTCCATTTCCCTTAGTTACCTGACGTCAGCGCTTACGCTTGTGGCCGTTCAGGGGTTTCCTTTTGCTTTCGAAAGTTGGGCGAATAAAAAGAATTGTTTCTTTTGTTATAAATTTGCACAGAACATATCAATTCAAATCTGTAAATCTAAGCAGGCAGTATGTATGAGCATGGCTTTATTGTAGCATTACAGACACGTTTACGCAAAACGGAACTTGGAATGTTTTCAAATTACGTCACCCAGTCGCGTTCCTTCCGGCCGGAAAACCGGCCCAAATGGAACAATATGGCGATTACTAGTTACCTGCGTCCTACCTGCCATTCGCAAAGGACGCCGGGAACCAGCG